AATTCTATTCCATTAAAATGTCGCATAAGTGCTTCTTGCATTGTATCAGCAAGACATTGTTCCTAAAATTGCTTTTGATATTTTTAAAAATAAAATTACTCAAATTATTACACTAAAGATATGGAATAAATGCATTTTTGACGTATAAAATTACATTTTATTAACTAATCAATCAAACAGTAAGCCGGTTAATTAATAAATCACTCAAACAATCAACCAAATAATCAACCAATCAATCAATCAAATTTACTTACAGTTAAATCATGTCCATAAATGGTATCATCGTGGATGAATATACGAAGTACTTTACTTCTAAGAATTTGAGCACCTTCTGGAACCATTTCAATATATTTCACAATAGCATACAACCAAAACCAAATAGCATCACGAGCATTATAACGTGCACCATATCCGCCATCCAAAAGATTGGGTATTAATCCATGTCTCATTGCAGCACCATATGATAGAATTAAATTTCTACAATATTTTTCCCATCATGAAATACAACAGTATCCAACAGTATCAATGATGGAGTACAATAGTATCCAGTAGTTAATCTTTGATCACTATTTTGAGCTACATTTTTGATTTATTCAATTCAATTTCTACTTAATATTTCCGATTTATTTATTTACTTTCATTTGTCCCTAGTTATTACTTTTGAATTGAATATTTAATAAACTTTGATTAATTCCATTACGGATTTGTTTGTCTTCAAGCTTTAACTGATCCTGTTATCTATGCTACAACTAATCCTGCATAAGTTCTATCAGGAAGGATAAATTTTCTTTTCGTAATAATGTCAGGTAAATATGAATATTATTAGTTCTGCCATTTTAAATTGAGTCAATTCAATTTCAATTCTACAATATTAACAATCCTTTCCAATCGGTAATTCCCGAAGGCAATAGCGAAATGAATAGAAAACAACCAAAGGCTGCTCTTATCAATGCTTGATAAACTAACACGTTAACAGTTTTGATTAAAGTTTATTTTTAAATTAATCAAATTTATTACTTTTGAACCTTATAATTCCTCCTAGAAATAAGAAAGCCATGGTGGTCACTGATCAAAGAAAGATTAGAAATCACTGGGTTATAATAGCTAAGCATTACACCGCATATTAATTAATTAAATAAAGGGTTAAATTGTAATAGAATAAGTGTAATATGTAAGAAAGAAATTTACCGTGCATCCTGAAATCGACCGGTAGCAATGCAACAACCAGGTAATGCGATAAACGTATCCCGTCCCCAATTTCTCCAAATTCCAGTGGCGAAATGTGGTAAACCAGCCGAAAGTGATGAAGGGAAATCATCTTCCATCTTATATCCATCTGGTAATAGTGCTAACTTAGCATTTTTAACTGCTCCAAGGAAGGATACAGATGATAGCGCTAACGATTGAACATATACCGATGCTGTTGCAAATGGCCTATAAAATTATTGAGGCAAATAAACTGTCTTAATTAATTAAAAAAAATTTTGAATGCATGATAATAAATGAATGTGAACAGAATCATAATGAATTTATTCGATAATTAATATTTATGTTGAAATAAAAAATTTAAAAGATAAAAGATATTTTCAGGAAAATCGGATGAATAATAAAACGTTTAATTTGTTTTTTTTTTCTCAAACAATTGTTCATTCAAATTAATCATATTAATGATATTAAATATTGAATAAATAAAATTAACTATAATATAAGTAATTGACGAAAATAAAAAAAAAAGAAAAAGAAACTAACCGACTCAATTTTTCATCAATTGTTCCAATGTTGTTTCATAAATTAACGAAAATAATGCTTCAAAATAGCAAGGCCTTAAGTCATATGGTACTTCATGAAGTGGTAAAAATAAGATTTGAATAATACGACCAATTTCCGCTAATGCTGGATTATTTTTGTTAAGCCGATCATAAATGTAATTGCAAAGCCATAAACCATCACGTAAATTTTGACATATCGGATGACCAAGATCATTATGAAATCGAATATCATTTAAATAGGGTAATAATCCTGAAAATTAAACTTTTCCTTTTTTTTAAAATTTCTATTTAGTAGTTAAATTATTACTATTAAAGTCATTATTATTTCTTACTGTTTTATAAATAATGATCGACTTAATCTAATAAATGAACGAATAAAAGAAAAAAAATTCCGGAAATCAATAAATACATAAATCCAGCATAAGTAAGCACTATTCAAATAATCGAACTACAATAATACGAGTAATAATACTGATAAATTCTGGTACTAATAATTTTTGATATTGACAATTCTTGGTATTGAATTCTTCTCATGTTAATAGTTAGCTATTAGCATTTATTAGCCATTTGTTAACAATTTTCCAAAAATACCTAATTTATTGATTGAAGACTCATTATCACTTTAACAACCAATTTACTGATTAAAGATACACTACCACTTTAATATCCAACTTACTGATAGAAGATTCATTATCATTTACACAATTTTCTAACATTAAAAATCTGAAATTTCGTAAATTTTGTACGAAAAAAATTTTACACTTTAATAAAACTAACCTTGCAATCCACAATAATCTAATGTTTTCCAATTAGGTATATTATAAGAGCCTGATCCGAAATCAGCTTGATCTTCTGCGGCACATCGGAACAGAAGCATATTGTAAGTTTGGAGAGTTGATTGTTTCAATGCATTTACAAAAGCTGTAAATATAAAAATTAAATTAGTAAATTTCTTATAAAATTCATACTGTTCTTCCTCGTTATCGTAACACTATACCAATAAGTTCCGCAAACCTTTCAAGTTAAATAAACAACATTTTATTAACAGTAATTAATAACATATACACTTACATGTTTTTATTGAATCATTCTTTCCAGACAAATAATTTTGAATCAAATTGATTGCTTCTGTCGCCTTTTTAACTGATGATACCCTTTAAATTTTGATTTTAAATTGAAATTTTAAATTCACATCTTACCTTAAATATAGATGCTTAAAATTTACACTTGTTATAAATATGCTAAAGCTTTTCACCTACTAAATTTGTTTTATTTAATAAATAATTTCGGATATACATCAATTTTAATCTATCAACTAGCTCTAACTTACTAATCCTCAACCGATAGTTAACGAGAACTAAAACATGGTCTATGAAAAGCTATTAAAAATTATTTCCCTTCTTTTTTATATTATAATGTTATTCTATGTTAAACTAATAAGTTAAAAATTTCGATTAAAATTTATTTTCAAATTAAAGAGTATATTTTTGAATCTCGTAGTTCATGCCATAAATAAAAAAAAGAAAAGATTGAAAAACTGTCAAGTTAGAGCTTAACTGAATATAAGCAATGATAAAATTAAAAGTAAAAAATTTCCTCTAACTTTTCTTGTTTTACTTCTCTAGTCTAATTTGCTCATTATTACCATCAAATGAATTCAACACTAAGTTGACTTACTTTATAACGATAACTGATCCGGAAGGGAAATGCTTCAGGTGAAGTTTACCATCTGTTTCATTTTGTTTAACAATTGCCAATTTCGAATCATTTGCCTTCAGATGCTCTCGAACTTCCACTTTAGCACCATTTAAACCAACAATTTTGTTATCACTTTCTGTAGCTTTCATTTTTTGATTTATTAAAATTTTAAATTTCAAATAATTTTGACATTTCTTTTTCTTCATAAATTATGCAACAATATACCTTGTTTTCCTTTATCCGTGTAGCAAAATTCGATTTCAAGTAGAATTTCATCCAATAAACCTAAAATTCCTCATCCTTTTACCCGACAACATTTCAGTTAATTTTGAAAATATTATCCAAGCATGACGGAACTGTTCATTGTTCTTTGCATTTTCCGGTTTATTAATGATGTTGAATGTATCAGACTTCAGGAAAAACATGTTAAATGTATCAGGAAAAACAAAACAAAAATTTGTGCAGTGTTGCTAGCTATTGTTAAAACTCATTTAATTATCAAAATAATGATAGTGTGCTCCGGAAAAAATTAACTATAAATTAAAACTGTCACCAGTAAATGTCAAATCTTCAACTGTTGGACAATCATGACAAATGGCATCTCTATTGAATGCAGTATATGCAAGCATAATAACTTTCTCATGGGTTATCGGATTATGTCGTGTTACAGCTATAATATCTGGTGTTCGTTGATCAACATAAATCTAAAATTGAATAAAATGAAAACAATCAATTCGAGAAATTTTAATCAATCAATCAATCAATCAATCAATCCAGTCAATCAGCCTGTCAATCGATTAATTAATCAACCAATCAATCAATCAGTCGAAGAATTGTTTAGTTAAATATTACAAAAAAGAAGCACATATTTTAAAATAACTTCAGACTGCAATAAATTATTAAATAACAAATGAATACTTGAGTATAATTATTTTCCGCAAGCCAAATATGTAATCTATTCAATGCGGCACGTGCCGGAATGATTGTAGATGATTGCATTGCTTCTGTCCATGTCGTATAATTACGCGTTTCAGCAACAACATCGATCTGAAATTTTGACATAGAAAAAGCTCAAATATTAATTTTATCCATTTTTGTTGCTCCTTGCATTTTCCGGTATATAAAATAATAAATATGTTATGCATGATATGATTTGATATAATATCATATGACAATGATTCCAAAAATATCTATGGAAGAATAAATAGGTAAAAGATTTCCCATTTATACACATGGCTATCAATCTCCTTTTAACTGTGTGTCTGATAATTTAAGAGAATTGATTCATGGATTTAAAATATCACAAAAATCAATTTTATCAACTAAATGGAAAAAAAAAAGATCTTCTATCTACATATATCATTAATCATTGTCCTTTTAAACCTTTACTATTTGTCGAATAATTTGATAGAATTGCTTGGTGATTTAAAGTACCACAAGAACTAATTCATTAAATTTGTAAATTCTACCAGGCTCATTTATCAGACTTCAATGTATCAATGCATTTACTTACTTTATAAGGGACAAGTTCATCATATCCCCGAACAGTACCAATACCACAATTTGCCATTGCTAACAATGCTGCCGTTGGTATGCAATCATAAACGGAACGTTTCTAAAGTTATTTTGTATAACATATAAGAAAGATAAACATTGAATGTCACTAATATTCTTGAAAATTTTATGTTAATTATCATTTTTTTTAATTGAATAATTATAAAAAATATCAAGCCATTTTTATGTAACGAAATTTTCAGAAATATTATCAGTTTTAATTTCAAATTACTTTTACTCTCTTATCATCATAACAACCTATAAGATCATCTAATTGATAACATCAATTAATAAGGATGAAAAGTGAAAACTTCGATAGCTGAAGGATTATCATGTGTTTGATCGAAGAATAAAGCTGGTGCTACACAAGATGTCGCATCTTGGATTGATTTTTGAATAAATCCACCTAATACATCACCACCAAATCGATAAATTAAGCGACCTTGTTCAAAGCTTATTGGAGCATTTTGAGCTTCTAAAATAATAAAAATGAAAAATTAAAATTTATAAATTTAAAATAGTTTCAACAAAAACGATTAAAATTATCAATAATTTACCTCGTATTAAAGATGTTATTCCAAGTCGATTTACAAAAATATTATCCAAACTTTCTTTTTGTGTAAAAAGTTCGGCTGTCACATAGATATCTGGTCGTATTTCACGTGCAGCTTTTAAAAGATACTGAAAAAAAAAGTTACGACAATATTTTTTTTTATGATATAATAAATTTCGTGGCAATGATATTTTACACATTAAATTTTACAATTAAAAAAATAAAATAAGCACATACCTCAGCAACATGTATTGGTGTACTGTGACAATTATCAATGCGTAAACCATGAAATATTTTTGCGCAACGTTGACTAAAATGAGGAAAGTTTGATTGCATAAATTCATTAACTTATAATTAATTAACCTTAGGCAATTAAGCATGCAACAGTATCTCTATTTTTAAATCATCATATAAATCACCATACATTCATCATATTTCATATCAATTCTGAACTTCAATACAACTGAGATTTATTTTTCCAAATTTTAATTTCCAATTAATTTTAATTAATTAAATTCCATCTCACTATTATATCGCCATATCATCATCATAATTCCATATCGTTATCATATCTTTCATTGAATTCCATATCACTATCATATCTCAATATCTAATATGTTATAGATTATATCAGATACTAAGCTATAGTAGTGATATGGAATTATTTGATTACTCGTATCGAAATATTACACCGTATTGGCTATTTAATTCAAAACTATGTCTTTGTTCAATTTCCGGATAATTATGCAATTCCAATTTTAGTCAATGAAATATGAAAGATTCCGTTTGTTTGTTATTTGATTAGTAAAAAAAAAATAAATGAAAAAATTTGAAGAAAAATGATTTTTGAAAAAAAGATTTTGGAAACATTTGGAGAAAAATATTTGAATGGGAAATTTACGTGTATTTCTTCATCAGATCCCATAAATACGGACAATCTTCCGGTTTTTCACCATAATTCAGCTTTATGCAATCTCCCCAACATACCAAATGTCTCATCAAATAAACCTATAAGAGAAGTTATTTGTATTTCAAAATTAATATACGGAATTAAGTTTGAAAATTTTAAATAATTTAATACAAATCGCTAAAATAGTCAATAATTATCTAATTTAGTAATAAATTACCATTCAAAAATTAATGAATAGCAAAAAATGGACAGGGGACAAAATAATATTTTATTATTCAAAAATTAAAAATTTCAAGCAACAATTCATTTCTTAGTATTTTATTTTCGTATAAAATTTTTAGAAAAATTTTCAATAAATTAGTATAAATTACGTAGATTGTATGCAGAATGGAATATTTTCAATATCTAATTTTAATATTTGATAGCATTAATAAATCTTAATGGATTATTTCAATTTTATATTGAATCTATTAAAATTATTATTAAATAATTTTAAGAAATTATTTCGATTTTGTATTATTATGATTATTACGGCTTAATATCATTTAATCATATTTTAGTATCATTAAAATTATCATCGTTTAATGCTATCCGAAGAATTGCTTAAATATGTCTCGAGAAAATTGTTAGCATATCCTCATAGAAAATGTATGCATATCATTAAAAGTACACATAAGATACATCAATATTTCTTTCCATAACAAGGTAAATAATGTAAATTGTTAAATTAAAACTTCCATTTAAATTATTCACATAATATTGATTTAACATTTGTAACTTTTGATGAAATAAATTTGAATGAAACATTTTGTTTCATTTTACCTGTGATGGATAATGTGCAAAATTAAGTAATGGATTATCATTCATAACCCATCCATTACATGCCATTATTTTTCCTGCTGTTTCATTGCTATATGCAAATTTCTCCTCATCTTTCCATGAGTTCAACGATGGAAATGGTTGTACAAAATACCTGAAGAAAAAGAAAAAAAAAAAAGATGAAAATATTCCAGTAGAGTAGGAATGATAATTGTAATTTACTGATAAGATATTAGCTAAATTTGAAAATTTCTTCCTTAATGTAATCTAATCATCCATCATTGATTCGGTTAAATCGTGATAAAACGATTTTAAATTATATAGGAAGAAATAAAATAGGATCAGAGGTCAAGTTTTTTCTTTTTCAAAAACAAAATTAGATCAAGGATCAAGTTTTTTTTTTAAAAAAAATGAAATAAGATCAAGTTTTCACTCATTATTTTTCATATCTTTAAATATAATTTTACTTTATTTTAATTTACAATCACTAAAGCTGGTTCCTTTATTCCATATGTGATGATATTTGACAATTTAGGTAACATTTGTTCACAATGTTAACTTATCACAAACCGGTAAATTAGACTTTTAGAGAATGAAGAAAGAAAAAGAAATTTTAATTGAATTAATGGTACAGTACTAATGGGTAGTATGTATATTTACTGTGTGACAAGACCATGAATTTCGGTTAGTTCGCGTCGTCGCGGTCCCCAATGATCGATTCGTTCATAACCAATATGTCCTGCACAAGCTTGCAATACATTTTCACAAATTCCTGCACCGATTTCCAATGCTTTTTGGTTAAGGAATTGAAGATGTCCTCGAAATATTTCCAAACATTTCCATTGTCTGTCACCCTCATCAAATGCATCGTTTCTTCAATTTCAATATCAATATATATAAAAAGAAAAAACGGAAAATTTAATTTTAAAATAGATTTTTCGTTACTTGAAATTTATTTCCGCACTAATTAAGCTAGTTTTTGGAATAACCACCAATTAAGGAAAAATTAAATCGATACCTTTTTCGATTAAAAATCTTATTCGCATGATTCATGTCAACAATAAAACCAAATCGATTCCAATCTGGTCCTGGCTCTGATTCCAGCATTTCGTCCCGTACATCCGGTGAAGGTCCATCTAAATATATATTATGATTTAAAATTAATTTATTTAATGAAAACTGAGAAAAAAGTAAAGTTTCAGAAGAAATCTGCTTAAAAATAAATCATTCCAATTAATATAACCAAATAGCTCTTATTTATGCCATATTTTCCATTAATACATAAATTGGACATCGGAAATAATCATGCATCAGTTTTCCAGAAATGATACTAACCATCAGATGTTTCTTTCAAGCTGTCTACTAATTTCAATATTCAATAATTTTAACACAAATACCTTTGACATATTTCTCAAATAGTGCCACTAATTTCTCGATGTCAACTTGAAAGAATTCGTGAATTCGTAACTCTGGCAAAAGTTCGTTGCGCAAAATGTCGAGAATAGTCTAGGGAAAAAAAAAGATGACAATAATGAAAACAAAAACTTTTAAAAATTGAGCTATGATTAGAATGGAAAGAGAAAAAAAAAAGTTAAATGATTTATGTGATGAATTTCCTCGAAAATAAAAGTATCATATGAATCTTTTTCCTAATATAATACTGGTACAAATGCAATATGGTAGAATATGGTAGCATTACTGTGTGTAAAATTACGGTATGCCATAAATTTTATCATATAAAACAGGAAGTTATCAATATTATTGATTAAAATTTCTAATTATTAATTATTAAAACATTTAGATAATACTAACATACTCGTAAATGCTCATCTGTATTAATTTCCTTGCTAAGATTTCGATTATTATACTTTCCATTCATGATATCAACACCAAAATGATATAAGAGACGATCAAGGACATAAGCTGGTCGTAAATGTGGACTATTTTTTAAATTATAAGCGCATTCTGGATGTTCCTAAACAATAATTATAAATTATCATGAAAAGATACTTAATTTACTCAATATTTATTAGAGGAAAAAAAAACTTCAAGTTTTCAATAGCAAAATTAATTAGAACAACCATTATTATAAAATAATATCATTTTTTTTTCCACATAAAATGATGGCACTAACATTAAAAAATACTTAATAAAATGGAAATAATGAAATAATTAATAAAATAATGGAATAATTAATAAAAAAATGGAATAAAATAATGGAATAATTAATAAACTATGGTTAATGCAAAAAATTTATATATATATACTTTTTTTGAATAATATAAATTAAATTAATAAAATAACTGCTTATATTGTTATCAATATTGAATTCAATTTTCATCAGATAATAAAATGATAGAATAACAATGTAACTTACTAAAAGCCATGAAGCATTACGAGCTGCATGATTCCATACGACATCTTGCATTGATAATAAATGATAATCTCTTTCAAGATTTTTGATCAATATTGCCAAATCATCATATGTGTACTGTTTTTTCTGTTCAAATAAATTATTTCAGATTTAGGTTTACTAATTAGAAGAAAAAAGTTTCAAACTTGAAATGGTAATTAATTAAAACAAATTAATTCGAACAATCATTATCACAGGACAACATTAAATGATGATAACTTTTGTGTGAAATTATTGCTGACAAATTCTTTCATAGTAGTAAAAAATAAATTGAGCTATTGGAAATGGAATTGTTAATTATTTAGAGAGTTGATTCTTGCTAAGAGAAACTTACGGTAGTGCTAAAATTCGGATTCAGTTGCATTGGATCAGCAATGCAATAGCTAAAATAAACAGATCAATGATTTCAGATAGAACTTTTTGGAAATTTCATATAACAGGAATAATTTAAAATTCGCCCATGATTAATTAACAATTTCCAATTAACTGCTATTTTCAGTAATTTTGGGCTTAAAAAAATTTTTTCGCTATAATCAATAATTAAAATAAGAAGAAATTCAAAATTAAAAAGTTGAAAATTTGAATTTCAAAAATTTTAAACAATTAAAACTTGAGTTGGAGGAGGAAATTCAAAATATATTGAAACGAAAAATACAAAAATAAGTAAATATAAATAATTTGATATGATTGAAGTTACAGCATGCAATTTTGATCTTTAAAATATAGCATACAATACGCATATTTAGACTACAGTATGCAATTGTGATTTTTAGAATATGAAATACGATATCTTCTTAAGTACAGCATGCAATTTCAATTTTTAAAATATAGTATACCATATATGTTTAAATTACAGTATGCAATTGTGATTTTTTAAAATATGGTATACGATATATACCTGCTATTTGAAATTCCAAGTTGTTGTACAGGAGTAAAATGAATCATATTATATTCAGCTTTTGCAGCTATTTTCAATCTTTCTTCCCACATATCAAATGAACCAAGAAGTTTTGAGATATGTGTGATACATGTTACAGCATTTAAACGTAATGGACGTTCATTTAGGAATAAAACCGGCATTACCAAAATATATCCATTACCGGCTATTTGACTAAAAAGAAAAAAAAAAAACCATTTTAAGCTTCTTAGCTAATTTAATCAATTCAGGAATGAATGAATTAATTACGAATTAATGAGAAATATGATTTAAGCATAAATTAAATTTAAATAATGTTATACCTTTCATTATCAACAATAAAATGATAGGAGAAAGCACCAGATTGTTCACATTTAATTTCAGCAAATGTTGCAAATTCATCAGCTTTTTCCTTCCAGGATATTTTACCCGAAATTGATGTATATACATCTACATTACGTCCCAAAAGATTTGTACCACGAATGAATCGAACAATCCAACCTATAATTATTTCTTATAAATAAATAATTAACATAAATAATACTTAACATACATACTTAAATTTCAAAATATTAAAAAAAAAATAAGTAAAATATTTGGAATTGGAAAATTTAGCTTGAATTTACATTTTAAAAAAATGAAATTATTTTCAAAAATTCATTCCAATCCTAGATTAAACTCAATATCACTTCAAATATCTTATTTCATTTATAGAATTAGGCCATTGTATTAATAATAATCACATCTTTAAAACTTTTATAAATTAAAATTTAATATTTGTTTCTCTTTTAAAATTTCATTCATCCTAAAATTTTTTCTTTTTGAAAATAATTAAAAAAAAAATGCACTTTTTTTTCTCGATTTTATTTCAAAACAAACATGCTAGAAAAAAAAAAAGAAAAAAGGAAAAATTGATTGATAATTTGTACTTGAAAAAATGTCAAACCTTTCTGAAATCGAAAAACTGATTCCTCAAGATTTTCACCGTAATTAAGAGTGATGATACGTGTTTCCGGTTTTTGATTTTCATGGATATCAGTCTTCAGTAAATTATTTGCTTCAGTTTGATACATAATCAATAATTACAGTAGAGAAGTAGGAAAAAAGATGTAAAAAATAAATAATCTAAATATGGTATAAATTATTTTAACGGTAAATTAAAAAATGTAAAAATCGCAACATGAAAAAAAAAGAAAGAAAACTTATCAGTTAATTTTTTAACTTTTTAAATATTTATTTTTGAAAATTCAAATCACTTTAAAGTATATTTCAAATGGCATATATATATAAAAGAATAGATTGGTAAAATGTCAATTAAATAAAAATAAAATAATTAATCAATAATTGTGATCGTTATATTATTGCTTTTTTTTTTTTTTTTACTAGAAAAGAGAGAAAGGCCATATTAACAAAAATATATTTTAATTGAACAAACAATATAAACATAACAAATTAATTATACTATTAGCAAAAATTGGAAAACGAAAATTCAATTTAAAAATTTAAAAAAAAAAAAGGAAAAATAAGAAAGTAAAATGGCGAAGATAGTTGGCTTGAAATATATGATGTAGAAAGCAAACAACTGCAGCAACAAGTGATACACAATAACTTTTTTTAAACTAACTAATCGATTTAGTTAAATGCTTCCTTACTATCCCCCGCACTCCCACTCTCCCGCGTCTACTCATGTGCATATGTGTATATGTGTTCTGGGGAAGAGTCTGGGGGAGAGTGGATAATATGTGTATCCATTCGATATCATATTTTTTTTTTTATTGATAATATAAGTTGAAAAATATGTTTGAAAAAAAATTTTCATCTGTTAATTCACATTAATATATTTTATTTGAAATATCGAAATAGAATGAATGATATAATTAAAAGTAAATCATATTAGTAAGTGGACAACCACCATGAATGACCAGATTATATGAATGGCTATGTGATCATATTAGTAAGTGAACAACCACCATGAATGACCAGATTATATGAATGGCTATGTGTAAAATGACAATGTTATTATTTTTAAGTAAAAGAAAAAAAAAAAAAAAACCAAACGTAAACCAAACATATTTATGAGTGAGAAATTTATATGAATAGTTTAAATTGTTGAAAAAATATTAAGTTTGAAATATTTTTTTAAATTATTAAAAGCAATAATCTTACAATTTTATAATACATATTTAATAATTAAGCAGTTTTTTTTTCGTTTTTTGTTAATCACTTTAATCATAGGAAATATTTGTTAAAATTGTTTTATGTCTTTTCTTATTTTTGCAATAATAATTTCCACGTGTTAATCAATCACGCAACACGTAATCAAACTATTTTCACACTTTTACAATGACAATCTTGTTATGTGATCAGAGTATTTTCTTACTTTAGCAATGACAACTTTCACATATTAATTAATCACATAACACGTGTTCATAGCACTTTTTTATTTTGGCAATGAATCACGTAAAAGATGAACATAGCAAAAGTTTGCTAAAATTATTTAATATAGTTTCTTATTTTTACAGCAACCTTCACGTTTTAATTAGTCACGTAACACGTGATCATGGTAAACGTTTATTAAAATTGTTTCATATATTTTCTTACCTTTGCAATTTTTTCGTCACATTGTATTGTACCAGAAAATTCATTGTATATCATATTGTCACATCGAATTTGTGATCCAATCGTTTCAACTTGTCTGTCATCTTTTGTTCCCTTAATTAATGTTTCATTTGTATGTTCAAAAATTTCAAATAAAATAAAAATTTTTTGACTTTCATATATGTTCACTATTGATTTTATTACATCATATAAACCATAAATTTACAAACATATGAAAAATAATTGATGTATGAATAATTGTTAAATTTCTTTTGCAATTTAATTAATTAAATATTTAATTAATTAAATTGCAAAGGAAATTTGGCAATTATTTTAATTTAACTAGTTTAATTTAATTTAACACTAGATATTTGATTTAGACTTTAATTAATTAAATATCTTTTATTTTAAAAATAAAGGATAAAATGAAATAATAATTTATTATTATATTCAAAATTTCCAATCGCTTAATTTTCATTTGCAATAATATTCTTTCAAAGGCAAATGGGAGTCTCTTAATGATGTATTTGTAAGAAATAATGTCAAATAAGAGTGGCACCTGTTTAACTGATTAATCTATTTAGTTGACGTATTAATTCCCGATGAAAACGGTATAAACAAACAAATGCTCCGGTTTCCATATTCTGTTCCTATCATTCCTTTTTTTCTTTTGAAGTAAGATTGTTAATGTTAGCTAGGAAATCGCCTAATTTTCCTTAAATTATTTTAATTATTTCAAATTTTAAGGAATAATTTTTTTATGCCATAACTTTCTAATGTCATATTTTGTTGTCAAAAGTTTTGGAAATTTTGTGTAATAGGTACAATCGAATATTGATTGAGGACAGTTTATTTGATAGATGGAGAAATACAAGAGTATTTTCCAGAGAGAATATTAAATGTAAAATTGATCAATAAATTGGTTGAATTGATTGATTAAGTTGAAGCGAACAGTTCCTTAAGTGATTTGGGTATATGCTATTGAATGAGTTATTGAATAACTGAATTGTAGAATGACCATTTATAGAATGACCTTTCATAGAATGAGTTACTTATGTGGAATAATGAGTTATGTGAAATGACTTTTATGGAGTGA